GGTTCAATTTCTAATGATTTATTTAAATCTGCAAGTGATTCTTCATATCTATTCATCATGCGATAAGTTGCTCCACGGGAGCTTAATGCACACGCATTATTTGGTTTAATTTCTAAAAATTCATTTAAATCTTCGAGTGATTCTTCATATCTTCCCATTATGCAATAAGTTTCTCCACGATTTTTTAATGTCCACGCATTATTTGGTTCAACTTCTAATGATTTATTAAAATCTGTAAGTGATTCTTTATATCTATATAACTGATAATATGTTCTTCCACGATTTCTTAATGTCCAAGCATTATTTGGTTCAATTTCTAATGATTTATTTAAATCTGCAAGTGATTCTTCATATCTATTCATCATGCGATAAGTTGCTCCACGATTTTTTAATGTCCACGCATTATTTGGTTCAACTTCTAATGATTTATTAAAATCTGTAAGTGATTCTTTATATCTATATAACTGATAATATGTTCTTCCACGATTTCTTAATGTCCAAGCATTATTTGGTTCAATTTCTAATGATTTATTTAAATCTGCAAGTGATTCTTCATATCTATTCATCATGCGATAAGTTGCTCCACGGTATCTTAATGCAAATGCATTATTTGGTTCAATCTTTAATGATTTATTTAAATCTAAAAGTGATTCTTTATATTTATTCAGCAAATGATAAGTTGCTCCACGGGAGCTTAATGCACATGCATTATTTGGGTTAATTTCTAATAATTCAGTTAAATCTTCGAGTGATTCTTCATATCTTCCCATTATACGATAAGTTTCTCCACGGTTCCTTAATGCAAATGCGTTATTTGGTTCAATTTCTAATGATTTATTTAAATCTTTAAGCGATTCTTTGTACCTTTTCATCATGCGATGGGTTGCTCCACGGTTTCTTAATGCTTCTGCATTATTTGGTTCAATTTTTAACAAATTATTTAGATCTACTAATGAATTTTCATATTTATCCATCATTCGGTAAGTTTCTCCACGACTTTTTAATGCCTCTGCATTAATTGGTTCAATTTTTAATGATTTATTTAAGTCTGTTAATGATTGTTTATATCTATTCATCATACGATAAGTTGCGCCACGGTATCTTAATGCAAATGCATTATTTGGTTTAATCTTTAATGATTTATTTAAATCTTTGAGTGATTCTTTATATCTATTCATTATACGATATGTTTCTCCGCGTTCACATAATGTTAATGAATTATTTGGTTCAATTTCTAATGATTTATTGAAATCTGTAAGTGATTCTTCATGTCTATTCATCTTGCGATAAATTACTCCACGGTTTCTTAAAGCAAATGCATCATTTGGCTCAATTTCCAATGATTTATTTAAATTTGCTAGTGATTCTTCGCATCTGCTCATTACATGATAAGTTACTCCATCGTCTATTGATGCAAATGTAATATTTTGTTCAATTTCTAATAAATTTTAATATATATATTTGGATTAATATAAATTTGCAATAAGTTAACCGCATATACAGTCACTTAATTATTCATATTTAGGCGAGACCAATTTGATTCAGTGGTTTACGTTACCCCCCTCACTATATACGCGGAAAATTTCGGAAAATTTTTATAATATTGCAGATCATTTCGGAGAAAAATTTATAATAAACTCCCTTCGGCCCCTCCCCTCTTTTTTTGTGAGTAGGATGTAACGTAAACCACTGAATTAAATTGGTCTCGCCTTATAAAAGTCCCGACATCGTAATCTTGGCTGGAAAAACGTGACAATTCATAATTTTACTGCCAAAATCCTGCCAGTTTTTTTTTTTTTTTTCTAACTTCAGAGAATTGTATCGGAGAACTAACTATTTTTAAATATGAAAGTTTATAATCCTGACAAATTATGATTTAGGTAAGTTATGAAGATTTGATTATGATTACGTGGGAGTCGGGACAGTTTTTATGACTACTGTATGTATGAGTGATGGGCAAGAAACCGTAAATCGATTAATGAATTTCACAATCCAATCCGGATAACCATTTATCCAGATCCAAATTTATCTGGATATCCATTTACTATTGGTATCCGGATTATCCGATAAATATTCGGATAATTATCCGGATATTAATAGTAAAACGGATATCCGAATAATTTCAGATCTGGATATCCAATAGATAAATAGGAACTCTACAGTATTGATCATAATCAAGATACGCATACAGATAGTTGATCTGGTCGTTTAGACCACACAATAGGATCGGTGACTTTTGATGTAGGGAGTAAAAGTTTATACAATAATTATAAGCGATGCTATCAAAGTATCTAGAATAGATGGGTCAAGTTCGATATTGTGAAAATTCATTAATCAATTTACAGGCTTTCTCCCCTGTTGTCATTTGGAGTTGATATCGTGTAACGATTACTATACCTGATGATGCTTCACCCATTTACAATATAAATACAGCATAAAGAGAAGACAATACAACTCATCTTAATACTAGAGTTTATTGTACGATTCCTATTTTACTGCTGCGTACCAGATTTATGATGCGACGTGTTGATCAACTAGTATAAAAAAGAGAAGATCTTACATTACACATACTTCAAATGCATATTACGTATGCATGCATCAAAGAAAGCTGACAAGCATATTACACTACAGAGTCGTTTCTAATTAGAACATTAAGATCGACGAAAAGTTGACAAAAAATAACAATTTATTAAAATTAAACAAATGCACCTTTCTCAGTATAAACCAGTTCTGCGCCAAATTGCCTATTTTTTATATATACACAAGGTTTTTTTTTTTTTTTTGAAAACTTAGCCCCCCAATACATTCGTACTATACTTAATAATAACTCAAACACGTAAAATATGGGATTGGTTAATTCAAAACTAAATATTAAGAAAAAATTTATTAGAATAAAAAGTATTAAAGTTAAAAAACTTGACAATACATCAGAGGTCTATGATTCCGATGATTCTATTGATCGTTTATCAGTTGAAGACTTTGCAAAAGAAGAATATGAAGGTTATGGAGTATGTAAAATAAGACAAAAAGGACGTGAAGAATATGGAAAATGTACAGTTTGTAATGGAATTAATTCTAATTACGACTGGTGTCGCTATTGTGATACAGAAAAATTGATACAAGGATGGACTAGTGGAGATAAATTTATTGATAAATTTATAAAGAAAACACAAAAAAAAGCCGAATATTATACAGATTTATATCTTGAATGGATTTCTTTTGAAAATATAGCTTATATTCAAAAGGTTGATCAAGATGAATCAAAATTTGTTTATTCAGCTATTTGGCTTGAAGGTGAAAGAGAATATAGAAAATTGTTTTATCCGTGGGTAAAGGGACGTTCTCCACCATTAAAAGTTATACTTAAACCTTTACCAAACTCTTTAGAAAATTTAAGAGATCTCTTAAATGAGGTAAATTATTTTATTGTTTAATGCGTTAAATACTAACGCTAAGATTTATTAAGGTTTTACTAATTAATTTGTATAATTTTTATACTACATAAAGCTTAAAACATATTACAAGAATGCAAAGGCATCCGATCCCATTAACTTTTACGGAATAACGTATAATCCGGGATTAGACAAGTACATGATGGTTATAGAATATTATGATTATGGAGATCTTAGAGATTATTTAAAATCTAATTTTATCGAGTTAAAATGGAAGTCAAAACTCTATTTACTTGAATCTATTGCTCGAAGTTTATTAAAATTACATTATTTTGAAAAATCAATACACAAAGATTTTCATACTGGTAATATTTTATTAATAAGAGATATAGATGAAGAAGATAACGAAACTGTAAAATCAAAAATTTATAAATCCAGAGTATTTACAAAAGAATTAAACGACGAAGAGAATAAACAAATATTTGGAGTTCTGCCATATATCGCACCAGAAATTTTAAAAGGACAAAACTATAAAGAAGTTACCGATGTTTATGGATTTGGAATGATTATGATTGAAATATCAGGAGGAAATCCGCCATTTTATGATCATCCGCATAACTTTGGACTTGCCAACAAGATATGTAAAGGTTTTCGCCCAAAATGTCCAGAAGGAACTCCGGAATGTTATGTTCAATTAGTAAACGAATGTTTGGAATCGGATCCTGAAAAACGGTTAACAATTGATATAATCTTGGGTGATATTGTAAATTGGAGAGATATTATTTGTTCTGATAACGTTGAAGAATTAGATGATGAACAGTTAAAAATTCGAAAAGAGTTTGAAGAAGCAGATAAACAAATTCCTGATATTGCAACGAATGCTTATGCACAAATGCATCCAAAAACCACGTGGAAGAGTCAATATTTAAATTTACCAAAGTTTCCAGGTAAAATAATAGTAAATAATATATAGTTATCGTTATTCGTTAATTTTGAATTATTTATAATTATACATTTACGCCTTTCAGATTCCCAAGACCATGAACATCTAGAGGATATTATACTGTGTATGTTATGCGAAAGAAGATCACTACTATCGCATGATTGCTGTACATATTCTTATTGGGGCTACAGCCTTGTTATATGCATTCATGCGATAATAGCATTGTACAAACTTTTAAAGTGTATTAAATTAATAAATTCTAATCTGAATCCATTTTTACATTAGTTGAACACGAAGAAATTAAAGAAAATCATGAAAATCACGATACTATAAAGAAGATTGAAAATATACAAAATTAAATTGATTTTAAATTTTAAACACGAATTTAAAAGTCACGTACCGTATAATTCTATATAGTAAGCTTTTATGTAATGAAATTTTGATATTGTGAAACTTTTTGCAGACTCAATTTATATGCGCATTTATAAATTCTAAAATTTAGTTCTTGATTAGAAATTTTTGTATACGTGTCCGATCAAATATTTATTTAGTTCGTAATATTCAATTTAAAAATTTGTATTTATTTTTTTCATTAATAAAATAATTAACGTTAATAATAAACGTATAAGGAACAACTTTGGCATGTGATCTTGTGAAGGTCACTCAGGATCCTTATCGCATATAGAATTGTGAAATGACATTATAGAGCTTATAGAACATCTTGATTGGTGCATATACATAGTCATTCCTAACGATTTGACTAACTGCCAGAATCAGATTTCATTTACTAATTATGAGATTGGAGACTTTGTTATCAAGAAAATCAAACTTGTTGATCTCGCGCAGCCAAGCTAATATAATACTTTACTATTGTTATCTAGTGTTATCAAAGTTGACATGAGATGCAAACCTTTCGATGTAGTATATATATATATAATTTATTATATTTATACAGTTCAAAGAAATTTAAATTGATTTTTTTTTTAAAAGAAGCAAACGTCATTAACGTATTAGGGGAGGGCCAGAAAACACGAGTTTTTTATTTTGACAAAAATTACCCCCCAGGTTTCTTATCTTCTCTATTTTTCTATATATAGACGTGTTTTTTGAAAAAACCCCCTCCCCCTCAAAAGAAACACGTATTTTCTGGCCCTCCCCTTACATGAGTGCCGTCAAGGGAAGACCCAATTATATTTTGTGTGTAGTGCAGGTAGTCGTCTATGGAAAATCTATCATAATGATAGATTTTCCATAGACGGCTACTGTACACAAAATACGTATACTGTAATTGAAAGCCAGCATGTGGGTTTTCCCTTGACGGCACTCACATATCTTACGTACGTACGTATGTACACAGTTACGTATAGCTGTAATAAATGATTCAATAAGTTGCCATATATAAAAATGACTAGTGTCACTGAATTAATTTGTGGAGGTTGCATTGGTGACGTGATTGCATGATGCATAAAATTAATATAATGTGAATAATAAACTTGTATTAAATAAAAATAAGTAATAAAGAAATTAGCTTTGAATAAAAAATGACATTAACGATAAGCTAAGTGACAGACATTGAATAGGTGTCGCTAAATGGAGATAGGTAGGGCCTGTACGTACAACAGTGAAAGTACAAAGTCAAGCAAGCCCATTTCTTGGTGAAATTCGAATAAAAGAACCTGCATACTGTATCTTACCGCGGCACTAGTAAGTTCTGGTCCCACTAAATTCATTGATGATCTATCCTTTTACAGGTCTAGAGCTTAATAATTTCCTCGTATGTACATATTATAACGTACGTGCATGTGACGAAATGTTATCAATAAGTTTGTGATACATACGTATTACACGTACTGTACGTACTGTACGTACGTACGTGCATATGTATACAAATTCATACGTACTGTACGTATGTACGTACATGCGTAATTCTCATATATAAATAACGTATAACGCTTTCGTTCAAATCAGAAAATGTCTTGGGATACTCGCATCACAGAATTTATCAATATAATATCAAAAGATACATCAGAATGCGCTGAACTAATCGCCGATTTAATCACAAGATATTTCCCAGAGAATGAATCAGATATATTTACACAATTACCTGAAAGATCTCAAAACGTATTTAAGCGTGATGAAGTTGAAAAAGAGCTTGGTCAAGATATAACTAAAGAAATTAAACAAAATCTTATCGAATATCGAGATGCAAGTAGTAAACGATCAGAATATATGACAAATTTAGTCAAGCGATGTGATATTTTTTATAATAATTTGATTACTGGAAAGAATAAGAATAACATAAATTTAATTCCTATTGCTATCACGTATTCTATTATGCATCTTGCTATTTTGAAAGAGAGAAGTACTTATCATAAGGTATATCATCTGTTATTATTTGTTAAAATTCTTTTAAACACAGTATTTAAATATATGACGATAATGAAATTTCTTCTTTTAGGAAATATACAAAACAAATAAGTCAGATGAAACGTATGATTCGGATTTAAAACGAAAAGTTCAAGGTTATAAACAATATTTTATCGATATATATTCAGAATGGGAAAATTGGCGTAAAAATTATATTGAAATAAAAAATAAAAATAATATTCCTTGTAAAATTTATGATAATTTACTTGGTAAAACTATTAGTTACGTAGACATAGAAACTGATCAAGCAGCAATAGCTAGATATACAGAAATGTGTAATCGATCAAATTCACGATTATTTAATGAAGCAAAAGCTGAATTTATGAAAATGTATATGAATACATTTGCTTTGGATAAATTCTTACCTAATAATTCAAATGCACCTACAATTGCTCCAAATCGAGAAATTGGAACCCTCATTTTTGGAATTTATGGAAATGATACTTTTCCAGATGGTGATCATGGTCCAGATGATCATGGTAAATTAAATCCATTGGGTGATGTTAAGCGCGATGTAATTACTGGTTTTAATGTTCATGCTGGTTTTTACTTGGATTGTTTAACCGTTAAATTTAAAAATCAAGATGCATTTAGTGCTGGAAATGAAAAAGGTGGAGAAGCGACTACTATTCGAGGTCTTAATGCGAAACATAATTATGTGATTGGTGTTGATGTTTATTTTAGAGATGAAGTTGTTAGTGCTATTCGATTCTATATGTCAGATGGTCAAATTACTGAGGTACTTGGAAATGGTGAAAAAATTCAAAAAAAAACTGATCAAGTTAATTGTGGCCTTTATCATACCGATTTCAAATTAGTAGGCGTTCAGATGGCTGAAGCAAATTCTGATAAATATGCTCATAACCGATGTGTTGGCCACATTTCTTTTATATTTGAGCATATGCGTATTGCAGATTAATGTATGATTTTATTGATGCGAATGAGATAAAATAAAACAATTAAAAATTATGAATTTATTATTCTATTATATTAAGATAATGTTTTATCTGCTTTAATAAATTATTGTATCATTAGTGTTGAAAATTAGCTTAAATAGAGTTTCGCTTATGCATATACTGATCGAAATATTATTTAAACCATTTTGATATTAGATATTATTCTGATTTTACTAAAAAAACGACATGTAAGCCGATTAGCCAATCACGATTAAAAATTATCAGACAAATTTTTGCCAAATAAAGCAATTTTACAATAAAATAGCCTTTTAATTTGTCGATTTTATTATTTAATACTGTATATACGTATTTTATTAGAGGATAAAGACTGAGTTAAAAGGTCATTACTTGAAAATTAGCTTCCGAATCCACCCTTACACATTATTTAACGACCAACCGATTCTTAAACACATGAACATTACAACTAATGATATTATTTCTTTTTACAACTTAGTATAATTATTTTATTTATTTTATTGGATTTTTTCATTTCGTGTATTTACTAGCAAAACTTCTTTATTAACTATGTTTCATTTGTTACTTTTCGACTTCTTGAAAAGCAAAACTTTATAATAACAGTGTAAGGCCCAAATCGGTCGATATGTTGAAATAAAGAATGAAATTTTTTTTAAAAAAAAATTATACGCATTTCATACTAATTATATAATAATTAAAGCTAATAATCAATTTCTTGATAAAATTTATTCATGATACAAATAATATCGTAGAACGCTGCATACAGTACCCGGCGTGACAAATAATGTAGATCAAGTTTTTAAAATATTATTTATGTATGTCATGTGATGTAAATAATTGTGTAACTCGCGTGATCTTTAATTTTTCACTATGTAAAAAATCGTATCACTACGGTAAATATTAAAATTTTAGAGCTTTTCTAAACTGAAATACATATAAATTCTTCTATATTCTGAAAAATAATATTGGATATAAAAACATGTTAAATTATTGAATAAATTAAGATCACACTGTAGGTTAAGAAATTATCACAGAATAGAATTGCCTTCCTGGATTATCCACGCGACTTAACACAGAGTTTTAAGTAGCGACATATTCAATGAAAAAAAGAGTCCACATTACATATTTTAATATGCATTTTCTTTTCTATCAATCCATAATGTGGTTTCTGCCGCATGTATTTCACCAATTACCATCTTTGAGTGGCAAATTTTTTGATAAACTCACGAAGTGAAATTATCATGTTATAGGTCATATATTGCAAGTCTTTACATTATATCATCCTGTATATTTCTGCCTAGAATTTGTTGATATGTTTGTAAGATACCAATGACTTTATTACCAAACACTTGAAAATAATGAATAAGAGGTAACCAATTTTCAAAATAATCTTCCTACTAAAAATTATCGTGTTACCAGTTTAGGATCTTATGACGTACCGAGCTTTTTGTAATTCTAATTTGATAACATGTTAACACATTTCCTTAAAGCCTTCTAAGCTGAAAATCTTATTTGGGATACCAATTTTGTAAATCTTAATGTCAATTAATATGAAGTCTTTTTTTATATACATAAAAAAGACAAAAACGAAGCCAGTATGCCTTTGTTTAAAAAAAAATTGAGCTGAAGACGTTTAGCAAATTTCTTTGAAAAATTCATAAATAACAAAGTGTAAGATCAAAAATGTATTGAATGTTAAGATTTTATTAAAGAAATTATGGCATCATAAATTTATTACATCAATGATAGTACATTTAAGATTTTATATAATTTAATAATAATTTTAATTTATAACAGCTGAATGTGCTTGGAATATTATAGCATTTGAGGTTACCAAAAAATAACTGACGAATAAAAGCTGTATAGACTTGTTTAATAAATAAACTTATTAGCAAAGTAAATGTTTGTCAATTATATTTTTCTGTTTGTTTGTCAATTAATTGTCTATAAAATGCTTGTGAAATTAAGTGAGTTCTCTTCCATTCCAATGCTAATAGCTAAATGTTTAAAAGTCAATATGTTATTCTTTATCGATGGAGATTGAAAATAACGTATCGATGAATTTGTAACTGATGCAGAACTACGCTATTTATTAATTCGTTATTTTAAACCAAATTTATGAAATACTCAAATTTAAAAATTTGACACTCATGATTATTCCTCTGTTTTCGTGATTATTTTGACCATATATAGAATGAAAGTTAGTTTTTGAATATGTATTCGGTTCCTCTGGACATTTCATTTTCATGCCAGCCAATTTGTTTAATATATGCAGTGTGATATTTCAGTGATTGACCAAAAGCTCACTATGTTCATGAACTGATACTGTTTTTGTCTGAATTAATTAGATCAGAAATTCGGAGGGCGATTCTCAAGGCAAAGACTCCATATACTAAAATTTTGTGAGGAATTTTTTGTTATTAGCAATATTTAAAATCGACTTCGATCTTAAGTTACACCAGTTACACCGGATTTTACGAAACAAAAAACTTCCTTTTTGGGTTTGTATCATCAGCGCAAATAAATATACGTACGTACGTACTATATGGGTTGAAAAAGATGAGAATAAGGCATTCATTCATTATCAAAAGTCTGCTGAAATGAATAATTCTAGTGGAATGTACCAAGTTGGATGTTGTTATTATTTAGGAATTGGGGTTAAAATGGATAAGCATAAAGCGTTTATGCATTATCTGAAATGAGACCGACTGTGACGAAGGCACAGGAGGGATATTATCGCGAGGATCACCTGACCTCATGATCATTGAAATCA